TCCTGCACAACAGACTCGGGGGCCTGGTGTAAACATTCTCCTATTGGTGCCACTCAGTTCCCTCCTTCCCAAAGTCCTCTCGCCGGCTGGAAGAGATGATTAGCACTCCCTGCCCACCACTGCCTTGAAGAAGTCTGGAAGGTGCTCCCACAGGCACACCGGGAGGGCTCTCCTGTTCTCTTTACAAATGCATTAGGTCACAGGTAGGTCATTTGCAGTGATGTAACCATGCTCTTTGTGCTGCTGTTACAGGAAGGTTTGTGAAAGTGCATTCTTTTTTTTTGCCTGGGGATGGTGACTGACTGGATTTCTGGTTCATCCAGGCAGAAGCACTCCTGAGGCTGTAGCTTGGCTTTAGGCAACCAGAGGGCAGTTTTAAACCACCCCAGTCAGGCAGGCAGGCTCAGAACATTTGAAACTGACTCAGGAAACAGACTTGGAGTCAGGTTGGAAGAGTTTCCTGGTGTTTTCATGTAGGTTTACACCTAGAGCTGCAGTGGTGCAAGGTGTGTTTTACAGAAGCACAGGATCATTTAGGTTGGAAAAGACCTCCCAGATCTTTGAGTCCAACCTCTTACTGATCACCACATTGTCAGCTAGCCCGTGGCACTAAGTGCCAGGTCCAGTCTTTCCTTAAACACCTCCAGGAATGGTGACTCCACCACCTCCCTGGGCAGCACATTCCAATGTCTAATCAGCCTTTCTGTGAAGAAATTCCTCTTAACGTCCAACCGAAACATTCCGTGGTGCAGTTTGAGGCTGTGTTGGCCAGAGAGACTGCTAAATATCAAGGTCAGGTTAAATGAGAATTGGAGGACACATAAGTACAGTATTAATGTCAGTGTTTGTATGTGATTTGTCTGAGAGTCAAACCCACTAGCCTTGAGGGTAGGAGTAAATGTCCAGTGAAAGCACAGGAGCTGTTCCATCTGTGGTGCCTTGTGTTCTCTACTGCTGATTTCTTGGGTGTCTTTGAAGTGTCTGGCATCAGCCACTGTCCAGAAATGAATCTGGGAGTGAGAGCTCTGAGCCTGCCTGTCAGTTCTTGGGAAGGTTCAGACAAGCAGGTGACCTTCCCTGCATCACCTTGTCTGAGAGCAAAATGACACTCATTAGATTGAGAATAAGAAAATAAATTGGCCTTTCTTTCATTGAGAAGCACAAATGAAAAGGAAAATACCTCAGTGGTCATAGAGTTTTGCATTATATGCAGGATTCAGGTTGCCCAGGGAGGCTGGGGCTACCCCAACCCAGTATTCAAAGCCAGGTTGGATGAAGCCTTGAGCGATCTGCTCTGGTGGGAGGTGTCCCTGCCCAGGGCAGGGGGTTGGGACTGGATGATCTCTAAGGTCCATTCCAACCCCTAAAAATCTCTTGATTCTATGATTTTATCGCACAGTGTTGCTGAAGCAAATCTTACTTCTATTGAACCTGCTTGGATGATGAGAAACCCCACATCAAATTTAGATGCTTTTTTTCAGGTAATAAACATTGCTGGAAGCAAAGAGATGCTGTCACTGCAGAGCTTGGTCAGTACTGCTCTGGCATGGCTGGGAATGAGCAGCTGCAGGGTTAGGTGGTGCCTTGCTGAGACCCCAGGGGCAGCGAGTGTGAGGTGAGAAGGGAGTGAACCATCAGGGCTGTGTGTTCTGACCCACTTGTGTAATGTTCCTGCTCCTTCCAGGTAAAATGGCAGGCGCTGGGCAGCGCAGAGGGAAGAAGGATGACAACGGGATCGGCACAGCCATCGACTTCGTGCTGTCCAACGCACGGCTGGTGCTGGGTGTGGGGGGAGCAGCCATGCTGGGCATTGCCACGCTGGCTGTCAAACGGGTGAGTGTGTGGGAGGGGCTGGCATGGAGCAGGGCACTGCAGGGAAGGATGGGAGATAAAAGGACCCAGGATAGCATCATAGAATACAGTCATAGGACCATCAAGGAGACTCTAAGATCATTGAGTCCGACCATTAACCTACCACTCTGCTGTAACCCTGAACCCCAAACCATATGCTGCAGCACCACATCCAGACGTCTCATAAACACTGCCAGGGATGGTGACTCCACCACTTCCCTGGGCAGCCTGTTCCAGTGCCTGAACACCCTATCAGAGAAAACATTTTCCCTAACATCTGATCTGACTCTCCCCTGTCTCAGCTCAAGGCCATTACCTCTAGTCCTCTCCCTGCGGCCATGGCAGGAGAGACCATCCCCCACCTCTCTCCAACCCCCTGTCAGGTAGTTGTAGAGAGCCATGAGGTCACCCCTGAACCTCTTCTCAAGGCCAAACAGACCCAACTCCCTCACTGACAGTAGGCTGGGGAAACACAAGCGTTAGGTCCCTGATGACTCAGATTGTTCCTGGTGGTGTTGCTTTAGATGTACGACCGGGCGATCAGTGCTCCCAGCAGCCCCACTCGCCTGAGCCAGTCAGGGAAGAGAAGCTGGGAAGAGCCGAACTGGCTGGGCTCCTCCTCACGCTTACTGACGCAGGACATGAAGACTAACCTCAGCCGCTCCCTGCAGACCCTTCCCACTGATTCTTCAGCCGCAGAGGCAGGTAAGGAGCACAGTCATACTCGTGCATTACAGGATCAGCCAGGCCCAGGAACCCTGTATTCACTTAAAGGAATGCAGGGAAGAAAACACTCTGGCCCAGGATTTTGGTGTTTTTCTTTTAAGCAGGTCCACTTGTAACTTCCAGAATCAGAACTCACTTTGGGAACTAGTGAATAATAGTCACCTCTTGGTGTTTTTCACTCCTCTCATGACATGGCGTTAGCTTTATTCTCCCTCAGTTTTTTCTCTTTCAGGCTGAATGTTATCTGTGCAATCTTTCCTGGTAAAAAGCCATTCCATTCCTTTCAAGCTCTTTGTTGCCTTTCTTTGGGTCATTCTGGTTTGTTTGTGACTTTGTAAGGGGGGAATATCCAAATTGTGAATGTACTAGCAGTTTATAAGTGTATTTTCTACATTATTTCTACCATTTTCTAAATAGTTTCTGTAACGGTGTTTGCCTCCTAAGTGCTGCTTGTCACTGAGTTAGTCTCCAGGCTATAAAGAGCATCCTGCAGTCTTCTTTCTGAGTGGGATAATAAGTAATTAAGGGGGAGCAATGTTTGTTACATTTGTTTGGTTGGTTTTTCTCAGAAGCTTTACTTTCTATCCCTGGTTGCTTCAGGAGATTTAAACTGAAAATCACCATCAAGCTTTTAACTTGATTTGCAGATTCTCTGCAAGGAAGTCAGCTTTGGGCAATCGATTTTCTGCTGAGGAAACATGAAAAAACTAGACAGCTGTGTTAAATGGGGCCTAGATAATTTGATTGGAGTCCCTAAGCATAAGGATTGGGGAATAAACACATTGATGATTGTTTCTTGCATTCTTAAATTAAAAGTAAATTAAAACTCAAGATGGAAAAATAATTTATTTCAAACCCTATGGTTTGTGGGCTATTTGCTTTTCACACAAAACCTCAAATCTGGCCAGAAGAACCCAGTGGGACCAGAGACAGCAGCTGCTGAGGTTGGGTGAGATGGTTTTTTGCGCAGCTTGGTGAGCCATTCCACATGTGCTGTGTGGCCAAATGCCCATGGCCAACCCGGTCTGCAACAGCTGATTGCCTTAGTGGGGCCACTAACTTGGGGGTTTCTCCCATATCTGTTAAGTACCACAGCCCTTCCCAAGATCTCACAGATCTGTAATTCTTCCTTAATTCTCATTGATAACTTCTGAAATTTTGGTCCATCTGAAGAGAAATCTGAAAGACAGATGGGAAGCATTGACTTATTTCTTTGGGAAACCAGTCAGAAGAAGAAGGGGGCTCAAAGAGTCTGTGCAGGTCAGGCATTGCTCAGGAACACAGCGGTGTAAAGCCTTGTGTTCACAGAATCATAGGATCACCAAGGTTGGAGGAGACCTCTGAGATCATTGAATCCAACCATTATATGCCACTCTGCTGTAACCCCTAAACCCTCAGCCATATCCTCCAGCACCAGATCCAGACACCTCTTAAATGCTTCCAGGGATAGTGATTCCACCACCTCCCTGGGCAACTTGTTCCAGTACCTGAACACCCTAACAGGGAAAACATTTTTCCTAACATCTAATCTGAACCTCCCTTTTCTCAGCTTAAGACCATTCCCTCTAGTCCCTCTAGTGTTGCTGAATTGTGCCTCAGAGTGGGCTCTCTGTTCTTTGGCCAGTGAAACTTCGGGGGTTGTTTTCACTGGAGCTGTGATTGCCTGAGCTGGGCTAGCCCCAAGATCTGTCAGCTCACCATCCTAGTAACCATGCTGCTCAGACCCCCAACAACTGTTTCATGTCCAGGTGGTATGATCTTCTCTGATCTCATACCCTAGTCAAGGCTGGGGTTTGCTGGTAATTTGTAATAAGCTGTTATGATGTTTAAACCTCAAAGAGATCGTGATGGTTGTTCAAGAGTGTTATGTCCCCTGCTCTGTCATCATATTGAAAGCTTCTGAACTGGTAACAGCACTGAATTTTTGGTGAAATTGAGCTGAGATACTGCCAATGTAGCTATTGAAATTGCTTCCTTGTGCATGATATTAGTTTACTCTGTCTAAATTCCAAGTGTAGTAACTTGTTTTCATCCATTTTGATGCTCGTAGTAGTATCTTTTGAAGTTTCTACACCTCCCTTTTAACTGGTACCTGTGTAAAACATGGAAAAAATGTCTGCTGAGGCCTTTTTGAGACCTAGGAGACTTCCACACTGCAGATTTTCTCCTGCAGAACACTTCACAGTGAAATACTGCAGACGACCAACAGTTTCCCTTCTGTGTCTTGCAGACTTTTTTCGACCCACAAAGCCCAAGCCATCTGCCAAGAAGAGTCAAATGGAGCTGAAAAAATCCCGCCTTCGCCTGTCTCTGCAAGAGAAGCTCTTCGCTTACTACCGGAGGAAGGTGGCTATCCCAGCGGAGGAGCAGGCTCGGGCCAAGCAGGCAGCCGTGGATATCTGTGCCGAGCTGCGGAGCTTCCTGCGTGCCAAGCTGCCCGACATGCCCCTGCGTGACATGTACCTCAGTGGCAGCCTGTATGATGACCTGCAGGTAATTCCGGGGGCTGCAGGAGGGGTGACTAGGCAGGGACATTTCAGCCTTCCCTGCTGACAGCGCTGGCTCAGCACAGCATTCCTCAGTAATAGGGCCCCTGGTGTGGCCTTTCCCGCCGTGGGGCCGGGCGTGGATTTCTGTGGTAGTTTGGTCAGGCAGGGCCACACTGCTCTGGCAGCCTTTGCTTTTTGCTGGTTTACTTCTCAGCCCTTCTTTCCTTCCCCTCTGTCTCTCCCTTCAGCTGTGTTTTTCTTGCTATTTCTCCAGTAGACCTCTGTTTTCTCTCTGTCCCTTCCATATCCATCCAAACACATGATATTCCCTTTGAACTCCTGTGTATTCATGTAGGCCTTCCCTACTCTTTTTTTTTGTTTCTTTGTTTGTTTTTGTTTTAATGCATGGCAGACCTGGATTGGACAGCAGTCCCTGCTGCAATGTCTCCCTGATGGAAAGATGCCCATGGCTATAGTGAGTGATTCAGAGGCACACTTCTTTGTTTGAGTCAGAGCTCTGGCATGGAGCATCCTGTGTCCAGTGAAACTTGGATCTGGTGTCTTAATCACATTGGTGAAAAGGGCTCTAATGACCTTTTTCCAAACAATGTGGCAGACTGGGTGAGGGCAGTCTACCTCGTTGTAGCATGGGATCATTAAACCATGGTAAAGTAAGCTTGTCTAGAAACTTAATACTCTGCCTCCTGTTTTAAATTGTCATGTGGTGTTGCTGTGCCCTAGGCCAGCTGCACGTCACATCCAAGGGGCAGAGCAATACAAGGCAAAATGGTTCATCTCATCTATCTGCAGTCCATGTCAGGTCTCTATATAGTACATACCACGTAAGCACTAGCTTGGGTTGTACCTTGGAATTATCCCACTGATGATGGGAAGTAGTCCTTCAGAATGCCTTTTAACAAAAGGAGGCTGTGAATCACACACAGAGAGCAGAGACAGTCGAGTGCTTATTCCAGGTTCCTTTGGATGGAAGACTGTCTAAAGGTGGTGAATAAAATGAGTGTGGAGAGAGAAAGCCTGTTCTCACTGACTTTTCTCTCTTCTGAAAGGTAGTGACAGCTGACCACATCCAGCTTATTGTGCCTCTGATGCTGGAGCACAACCTGTGGTCCTGTATCCCCGGGGAGGACACTATCATGAACATTCCTGGCTTCTACTTGGTGCGTCGAGAAAACCCAGAGTACTTTCCCCGTGGAAGCAGCTACTGGGACCGCTGTGTGGTGGGAGGTTACCTTTCCCCCAAAACTGTAGCAGAGACTTTTGAGAAAGTTGTGGCTGGCTCCATCAACTGGCCAGCAATTGGGAGTCTCTTGGACTATGTGATCCGTCCAGCAGCTCCCCCAGCAGATTTGACACTGGAAGTCCAGTATGATCGAGATCGTCATCTTTTTATTGACTTCCTACCATCCCTGACCCTGGGTGACATCGTCCTCGTGGCCAAACCTCATCGATTGGCCCAGAATGACAATTTGTGGCGACTGAGCCTGCGGCCAGCAGAAACAGCTCGGCTCCGGGCCCTGGACCAGTGTGATTCTGGCTGCCGTTGCTTGTGCCTGAAGATCTTCAAAGCAGTATGCAAGTTAAACCCAGCTCTGGGTCACCTCACTGCCAGCCAGCTCACCAATGTCATCCTGCACCTGTCCCAGGAAGAGTCTGACTGGTCCCAGGACATGCTGGCTGATCGCTTCTTGCAGGCAGTGAAGGGGCTGATCCGCTACTTGGAGGCAGGTGTCCTCCCGAGTGCTCTGAACCCCAAGGTGAACTTGTTTTCAGAGCTCACCCCAGAAGAAGTGGATGAGTTGGGCTACACCCTCTACAGCTCTCTGTCAGAGCCAGAAGTCCTGCTGCAGACGTAATGGGGCCTTACCTAGGGAAGTGTTGATAGGGTTTAGCCAATGCAGACTTTGATTACTGCAAATTGTCTCTTCCACTACTCCCTCTCTCTCCACCACTCCCCCTTTTTGGTTCATTAGTAA